CATGAACATTTGAAAGGATAATAGATTTCTTTGTGTGTGTTTCTCAGCGTCTAGGATTGGTAAGATTTTTATATCTTGTCTTTAATTTCTACCATTGAGTTTATTGGGTTTAAGTTTTGGATCCCAATCCCTTTGGATTTACTTCTGCTCCTTCCCCTATATTTCAGCAGAAAGTGATTGTGTTTGGGTTTCCATTCTTGGAGGGCTATCCTTGGTCTGAACTGTTTTCATTTATTTTATTTAAAAATTACAAAGACATTTCTAGTTATATTTGGTTTTGCAATTCATTCCTCCCTCCGTTTTACAAAAACCATAAAACCCACATTGTCTAAAAATGCTGTGTTGAGCAAAATGGATTCAGTCGTCCTTGGAGAGCAGAAAAGGATGGAGCCAGTGTGTGTTATAAACATTTCCAGGGAGATTGTCTCTTTCCCAGAATTGGTTTTAGTCAAAGGCTGCTGACCAGTTGTGCGATTTCATTTGGGGTCGCTGACCCTGGGCCCTACTTGAACTTGACTCTGGATGTCATGTGGGCGTCTGCCCTCCTCATGTCTGCATCCTCTCCCCTCTCAGCTCTGCACCCTCCACTCATAGCTCTGCACCCTCCACTCCTGCTGGTCTGGCCCCTGCTGTTATTTTTTAAGGACCCGAGCCATAAAAAAACCAAGTCTTTGGATTTCTGAATGAACATTTCTAATGTTAAACTTGGTGGTTTCCTGTCACAAAAGCACAGACTCAGTGAATTCTGATTGTTCTGCAGTGTGGATCTTCCTTTTCCGGTTAGTTTAAACATCCTCATTCCCTTTGATTGCAACATTTGATCTTCCATGTTCAGAATCTGCAAATTCTCCCAACAGTTTATTTTCAGCAGATTATCACTGACTGACCTTTTATTTCTCAATCTGAGGAAAACGAAGTGGAAAGTGTGGGTTTTCTGGAGATATCCCCCCTGCCTTTTGCCTTCATATTTAATTGACGACTGTAATAGACAGAGCTGAGTGAGATTTTCTCACGCAAGCTCTTGCTTCTGGTAGGCACTTGTGCTCTCAATGTTGTTGGACAGAATCCTGCTTTCACTGTGTGAAATTTACAGGTGTTACCATCTGACCTCATGTCAATAGCAGTTGTAGTCCAAACCCAAGACTTAGGAGAGAATTTTGACAGAATTTGAGTCTTGCCCCTTCCACTTCACAATCCTCCTTGCTGTCTTCTACCTCTCTTTCCCTGCCCAGAGTTAGGGATGGAGAAAGAGAAGGAGGAGAAACCTATCGGTGTATTGCTTACCACTGTGGTATTCATGGGTTGGAAAACTGTCCATGCCCAGCGGGCCCTTAGGTGACAACGGGGCATGCTCCTCCTTTGGCAGACACTTTGAAGACTGAGCACCAATTTTGTATCACCTGTAGTGCTTCTCACAGTGCTCTGGTGAATGTTTCCTAAGCCTGCCCTTTTCTGCTAACCCGTGAACCAGCAGAGGATGGAGAGACATCTCTACCAGCAAATGTTTGCAGTGGGAATAAATATTTGTTGAGTCATTGCCAAGTACCTCCCAGTCACCCTACACTAAAGAGGAAATGGGGCCTTCCTGGTTTCCTTTGAGGAGCTTCCCAGACATTCCATGGGCCTTCTTTCCCAGCAGCCTCCAGTGTCATTTTCCTAGGGTGGCTGCAACACATCACACAAACTGGGTGGCTAAGACAATGGAAATTGATCCTCTCACAGTCCTGGAGGCCAGAAGTCCAACAGGAAGGTGTTCTCAGGGTCACTCGCCTTGCGAAGGCTCTGGGGAAGGATCCTCCCTTGCCTCTTTTGGCCTGTGGAGGATCAACTGTTCCTTGACTTATACCTGCTTCATGCCAATCTCTGCCTGTATCTTCACATGAACTTCTCCTCTTTTCTCCATTGTCTCCTCTTTTCTGTCTTATAAGGGCACCTGTCATTGGATTTAGGGCCCATTGGTATAATCCAGAATGATCTCACCTTGAAATTATTAACTTAATTATATCTGCAAAGACACTTTTCCCAATAGGGTCACATTTGCAGATTCTGGGGATTGAGATGTGGATATATCTTTTTGGAGGCCACTATTCAGTCCTATGCATCCCCCATGTGAGTTGTGGCGAGGGGCCTGAGTTTCAGAGGTTCACAGTCTCATCTGAAACACCACACCCTTGGTTGGATTGGATTTGGGTTCCACCAAGTAAACAATCAAGGACTAGGACTGTCTCATCGTGCCTCCTCCAACTCCCACTACTCTTTCCTATTTGTGAAGAGGAGCTGTAAGACTCTGACTTTTCATCTGCCTTTGTTTCCAGTCAATACCACTAGTTCTCATGTGGAGCCTCTTCCCCAAGAAACAGGGTCAACAAAGTCAAACATTTACAGGAGTTGCTAATTACATGTGAATATGCAACTGAAAAAAATGCCTTCATTACTTAATTCATTAAGCCTTCATTACTTAAAAATAACTCATTACTTAATAACGTGCTATTTATGTATAGACAGTTTTGTAAAATCTCTTTTACATTAGCCAGTATTTGAACTGGCCTAAACATTAATGATAGAGTGATATCCTGCTCTTTTTCAAAGATAGTCTTTATATGTTTTATGGCCAATCAAGGCTCCTTCAGCAGTGAAATTCTAAGTATACCACAGATACAAGGTGAGCAGCTTCTTTGGAGAAGCTATTACCTTTTGCTTGTTTCCCTCATCACTTCAGTAATTTTTTTGGTTTGGCTTAAGTCAAGTCCCAACAATACTGAATCAACCATTAAATGGGTTTTCAGGACTCGGTTCATGAAGAAGTCCCTGGAGCCACCTGCAGCCTGCCCTAGAAATACATAAATTTGAGTCCGTCATCTCATTCTCACTTAAAAATCTGGGCGTTTGTTCTTTAGACTGTAAAGGGAGAGGTAGAACCGATTAGAATTGTAGGATGAGGGTCCCAGCCTCTTTCCTCACTGGTTAGTGACCTTAAATATGTCATTTCAACTGTTCTGGGCTTCAGTGTCCCCATCTCGCATTGGTCTAAAACTGCCAACACTCCTGTAAGTTGGAACAATCAAATGCTTCTTGTGACTCTAAGGTGCATTTCTAGTTCTAAAGCTGTTTCTATGATTGATGTCTTTATGTCAACTGCTTCTGAAACTAGTTTGGAGGTAGGAAAGTGATAATCTGCAAGATTCCCCACCATTGCCCATGTATTCAGCCCTTCTCCAGAAAGTGGAACTTGTTTTAGAGAGCAGTTTAGAGCTTCACGTGGCTTCAGGTGGGAAAAATCTTGGGTGTCCTTACTCAGGTCTCAGCTAATCTACTTCTTCATCTGGGTTTGTCATATATGAGAGGGTTTTTCACAAACAGGAAGTTGTCTAAAACTTTAGTGAGAAGACTGTATTAATTAGTATACTTCATGTTAGCTGCTTTGATAATAGTCCCCCACATCTCAGTGGTGTAACAATAAAATTGTACAGCTTGCTCAAAGTCTAATGTAGATATTCCTGGTTGGTTGACTCTACTGGGGAGAGTGCTTCTTCTCTGAGCTGTGCCCAGGCTTCCTCCATCCTTTGATTTCATCTCACAGCCCATGCTTATGGCCTGAAAGAGAAAAGTGGGGCGGGGAGTGAAGAAAATGGCACTAAAATTCATGCAGTCTCAACCACACTGCAAAGCATGTTGGGAATGCAGGTTTCCTGGGTGGCCGGGAAGAAGAATCAGATTTGGGTGAGCATGCTGTATTATCTCTGCCACGGAAACTCTGCCTCCTACTTTGAAGGCAGGAAGAGGTAGAGGCCAAATGATTATCTTTAGCCCTCGTGGTATAGCTGGATAGATTTCAGAATAAAATTTGTAATTTCCATAGTGTTCCTGAAGACATTGATCCAAGCTTGCCCTGTCATCATTCTATACCACAGTGACATTATTTAACCCAAGACTGTGGTTTTAGTCCTTAATTTGCATCAGGTGCTCCCAGTGCCTCATGGGAAATAAGTTGTTGACTGACAGGCTCTGCTCACTGAGGGTTACACTTCCCTGTAAAAGAGCAGCCAACCACATTGTAAGAGGTCAGAACGATAATAATTGTGATAATGGTCAACATCTATTAAGTGCCTACTATATACTTGGCACCATGGTAGGCCTGCTTTAGACCTACCTTATTTAACCCTCTCATTTAGTCTTCAGGCTTCACTCTTACCAAGTAGCTTGGAAATGGACTATGCAGGGTGATTTCTAAGTGCTTTTGAGGAAAAGAGCAATTATAATTCCTTTAAAAGCCATCTCTTTGAGAACAGCCATTCTTTGGATGAATAAGTTCTGGCAGGTTTGTAAAAACATTGGTCACATGATCATTGCATCCCATCGCAAATGACTTGGTGGGGGCCGGGGGCTGGCCTGTTATCACTTCTGTGGGCAGATGGGACTGTCCATCTGCTCTACATTTTCACTGTTGCCTGCTCAGCTGGCAAGTTTGCAGGCAGAACACTGTGGGATGGCCCTGCCCACCTAAGTGGACAGAACTGCCTGTCAAAAATAGAGGATGTCGGGATTCTCTTGGGAGTTTCATATTTTAGGGAGCTATGCTTTGGGGGACCCTGCACTGGCTGGGAAGGGTGGTATTAATGGGCTGGATGCTTTCATAGATGAAATTAACACCTCTAAATACCTTTCCTTCTCCTAGAGGTAGGTCTGACTGGATCTGAAGCTTCTCCAGCAACAATGTGGCCTCCGTGTTCATTTTACTCAGATTTGTCCTACAGGAATGTATGTGGTTGGGAGAATGTCAGAATCCTTCCTTCTGCCCTGCACAGCTCTAGAAATGGCCCAGGGAATTTTGTGAGGCTGCAGTGGATTGGAGTTAGAGGGCATCAGCTGTTGGAATGGACACCTAGTCTTTAGATAATGGGCACCTCTAGTGCAAACAGTGTCCTTATTTGGGGTGAGTACTCAAAAATAATTTTAGAACAGCTCTTAACCACAACTTTGTGCCACCAAGATAAGGGGAGATATTTCCTCGCATCTGAAAGCCCTGTCTCCATGATAACAAAAGCCCTAGGATTTAGAGTCGAGATCAGAATCTGGGCTAATAGCTTTATTAATTACAACTTCTCAGTAAAGTCATTAGGATTTCAGATGAAAATGGGCTAAAGCAAAAAGTATTTAAGATGTACAGTCATGACTTTTAGTTTCTGAAAAATAGATTAAAAATTTCTTGGTTCCATTCAGTTGTTCAAGGAGAGGAGGGGAAAGGCAATATGGCAAACGCTTTCAGGTCTTTGTAGGAGGATAGAATGCCGGATTTGAGCACGTGCACCAGACTGTGTTTGTACATATCCTCCCAGGGCTTTTTGCTCAGCTCCATGAATGTTGCCACAGTGGCTTTATGGTTCGGCCTTGGAAATGGAGGTGCCAAAGGAGACAAACTCCATTTTCTATCCATTCACAAGGAGCCAAGCTGCTGGGCTGGGTGTTGTGAGGAACCAGTCAATCACAACAAGACAAGATTAAAGAAATGCCATAACAATTGACATTCACTCTTTCTTAAAGATGGAAGTTGGTGGGCTGCCTTTACTTTTTAGGGATGTAAACTCTGTGAGAGTGACGTAAACCCTTCTGTCTGTTTTCTGAATATCATCCAGGTTCTGTCCTTGGTCTTAGCCTCACATTCTTCTGCTCTGACACCACCAGGGCCAATTTCCCTGCCACCAATATATGTTTTGGGCCTGATGTTTGTAGGATAATCAGTAGAGCCATGAAACAATAATAAAGCGTGTTAGTAAGGTTGTTTGACTTGAAAGTCTTTTGCTAAATAGCCATAGTATCCATAAACTGCTGGAGGTAGGCTAATGAGGATCATAAAATTTATTATTGAAAGTATCTATTATCTTCCCAAGAAATGCCCTCTCTTTATCATGGTCATGCTGATTACATTTCTATGGTTAAAATTTCATTATGGCCTGTGTTTTGCTCAAGGTCCCGCAACTCGCCCAGAGCTGAAGCCTGTCAGCTGGGAGCTCCTTTAGGGAATTTGATTTTATTAATACTTTACGGTTGGCGGCCTTTAATTAATGTTAAATGAAAATGGGATTCTAAAAGCATCACAGAGGACTTTTCACTGGGGTGTCAAAATAATTTACAGTGATTAATAAGCCTTAAATCACCATTACTAGAGATGGTTTGAATTCCATTTTGATCATGAGGCACTGACTACAATATGTTTACAATTTTTTTAAGAAATGAGAAATGTAGCACTGCGCTGAACACCCTTGACTTAGAGACATTGTGAGGGGTGGCTGTTGGAATGAGAGCTGTGTTGGTGGCCTCCTCTGTGTCATTATGGGATGCCTGATTAGGCTTTATTTATCCATCCCTTTTTTCCTTCTATCCACCCTGTTCAACATACACACACACACACACACACACACACCCCTACTCTGGAAAAAGGTGGAGTAGAAACAAACAAACAAAAGCTATTTAGAGGCATCATCTCATCTCGTTCTCACAATAACTCCATGACGTAGATCTTATTATTTTCCTTTTATAGATAAGGAAAGTAAGGCTTCCGGTGCTTAGTGACTGACTTGCCCAAGGTCCTCAGCTGGTAAGTGTCAGAGAGGAATTTAAACAGGGGCTTGCTAGTATCCAGACCCAGTGTCTTGTATTGTTTTTCATGGATTAGCAGATGAAATTTCAAAACCCTGCTTTCCTGATGACAAGGCTCGCAGTGGCCTGAGTTTCAAGGCAGGTCTCCACCTCCATGAGGAACTAGAGGCAGGTCAAGAGATTAGGGGAGGCGTCCCGTGAAACGTATTGGGCAAGCCCAGTGGAGAGAGAATCTACATCACCGTGGTCACTGTGGCATCCCAGCAGACAGGCACCCCTCCCTCTCCAGTATCCACAGGCTATTGGGTCTAGAAGGCAATGCTCACTGTTGGTGGTGGACTTTTACAAATAAAGACAGAAGTCCTGATTCCACCAAGTCAGGACTGGATAATCTGTTGTAAAACAATAATTTCTTAACATTCTTCAACATGGCCACTCTAATGTTCTCCTTTCTATATTGTCAGATAACACTTTTTAAATTGCTCTAAAGTATCGGATAGAAGAGGAGATGAGAATCAGTTCTGGCTTATCCTTTCCTGGATCTGCAGTGCCAAATTTTTGCCCAGTCTGCTTGGCTCCTTGCCCTGCACCCTCTCCCTGGGGTGTTTGGTCCCCTGTAGCCTTCACTGCAATTCTTTTCTCTCTGAGGGATGTAGATCTCTTCACTGAGGGCTTAAGCTCAAGCATAACTAGGACACTAAAGAACATGAAAGCAACACCAGCCACTTTTATTAGGCAGCTTCCAGGTGCCAGGCACACTGCTTAGTGCTGCAGTTTCACTACCTTATTTATTCTTCATGGTAGCCTGTTTCTCCTATGTCTGTTTCTCCTGCTAAAGGCATGCAAAGGCATCTATGGCTACAGTCCCCCTACCCCACTCAGGTAATCCTGAGTTTTAATGATCTTCGTTCCTTCTCTCCAGGATTCTGGGGCCTAGAGAGGTGGATGACAAGAACAATGAGGCTAATGTAACTGGGTTTCTCTGTGGGCCAGGTAGATGTGTCCTGTCCTTCCTACCTGGTCCCCAGCATCCCCACTGCTGCACAAGACAGGGTGGTATGCCAGAGAAATTGACATTGTCAGAGCAATTGATGGTGTTGCCTCATCTCACTCCATGAGGGAACTGGGGCTCTCATCACAGTTGTCATTTCACATCCTTTTGTGTGATTATTGGATGAACGTCTGCCTCCTCCTGCGACTGTGACTGTAGGATCCAGAAGGATAGCGACCTTCCTCTTGGTTCATGGAGGTGCCCCCGGGGCCTAGGGACATCTGTGGCTCTTGGCTGTCCCTCAGGAGTAGTTTGCGGAGTGCACGCGTGTGTGAGTGAAGGAGTGAACGGTGGGGTGGTCCCTGGTGGTAGCCGTGCTTGGTCTCTTGGCACATTCTTTCTGGGCACCTTGCGGGTGCTACATGAGGTCAGCTAATGCCATCTCATTCCCATGCCTGTCTTTTTTAAGACAACTCCGTTATCTGCAGAGAGTAATGCAAAGAGATTACAGGGCTTTGGGTTTGCGGCAGACTGACCACAGCTTGCAGCCACAGCGTATCTCCCAAGACATAGGAACTGCAGGACTTCAGAGCTGGGTAAAGTAAACGTCTCCATAGAAACTGTTTGCTTAATTGGTTGAACTTTATGATGGGTGCTCCTGGAGAGGCCTTGTGATCACAAACTGTATTCTGTCAGGTCCTGGGAGCTGGGGGTCATCCGTGATGGCTTGCTCTGTGATACTCCCAGCTCCTTGCTGTGCAGAGCACACGCCTCCCTCTGCCTGTGTGTGTGCAAGTGTGTACATCAGTGGGCATGTGTGTGCATCTGTGTGTCTATGTGTGATTGAATATGAACCTGTGCCTATGTGTGTGAGCATGTCTGGGGAGATGTATGTATCAGTGTGCACACAAGTGTCTGTGTGTGTGTGTGTGTGTGTTTGGTGTGGCTATATGTGTCTTTATGGGTGGGTGAGTGTGTGTCTCTCTGCATGGGTGAATGTTTCTTTGTGTGTGTACACATCACTGTGCACGTGTGTTTGTGGAAGTGTATGTATCAGTGTGTGCACGTGTGTCTTTGTGTGTCTGTGTGAGTATATGTGTCTGGGCGTGCGTGGGTGAGTGTGTGTTTGAAGGAGCATGTGCATGTGTGTGCCTGTGTATGTGAGCATGTGTGTTTGTGTGTGATCGTGTGACCCTATCCCCTGCCCCCACCGCCAGGGAGGGGAGAGAGGCCAGTCTGTGCTCCCCATCTCTCCACATGTTGATATTATCACCTCAGCTTCCCAAGTCTGGCAGGAGACGCAGAATTAAACACAGACGCTCCGGTGCCAAAACAAAATTGTGAAAGATTTGAAGCCCCCATTCCCTAAACTTGCAGCCTATCAAACTGGGAACAAGCCCGGCTTTGTTTTATTTCCTGCATGGAACGGGGGTAGCACAGTCTGGAGCCACGTTGGTTCTGATAGAGGAGCTGACTCCAAGCCAGGGAATTTAAAATGCTGAAACCCAAAGCAGAATGGAGACAGCAAGATGCGATGGACAGAGAAGAAAGCATCTGTGAGGGGGAGAAGAGACGCCCGAGTTAGGAAGGAGGAGGAGGTAGCAGCCCAATTTCTGAGAAATATAGATCTACAAAGACAACGAAAAAAAAAGGGGATCGGGGCAAAGGAGCCAGGCAGAGGTGGGCACTGACCTGAATGCAGAACCAGCTCGGTGGGTGGTGAGCACAAATGAACAGAGGTAGAGGAATGGGGTCGGATGAAAAGCGTTCTCATATCCAACCCTTAATTTCGTGGCTGGGGAAATGAAAACCAAGCCGGGAAGCCACTTGCCTAAATCACCGGGGGATCTGGGCCCAGCGGCCCCGTGTTGGGTCTCACACTCTCAGGCCAGTTCTCCCCTGCATGTTGAAGCCACTTGCGGGAGGAGATGACCGGCTTCTCCTGGGTTTCCACGTGTGTCCTGGTGCCTTGCTGTCTCATTACTTCACCTTTTGCAAACAAGTTTTCCTCTTTTCTTTGGAGCCTCTGCTCTTGTATCGGCCTTCCCGGAGTTTTCTGGTTTCATTTTAATAGTAGTGTTGGGCACGGTGATGTCAACCGGGTTATGTATTCACTGATTTTGACTAGAGTTTCTTTTATTTTTTTTCTCCTCATTTGTCCACCCAGAGGCAGTTGATGACAATAGTTCTCCAAACATGCTGATCCCAAGGTCAGCTGTGGCTCGGAAGTAGGACGGGTTTGCAGGAGGATCACACACAGCTGTAGAAGGAACAGAATCAGAGCTGGGGAGGGAGAATTGCTCCACGGCCATGAGTGGGTGTCCTCTCATGCGGAGCCTGAGTCCCGTAGAACTTGAGGCTTTTCGCCAACTCATGAAATACAGATGGTAATGCTTCCTGCTGTGTCCCTGAGACTAGGTAGGGTCTAGTGTCTGGTTTATGCCCTTGCACTGGATCACTCTCACCCAGGAATCACCCGGCTGGGGACTGAACCTCTCCTGCCACCGCTCCAACTCCTCCTGAGACACTTACCTCTTGGAAAGGCCACATGTGTTTGCGAAGGACAGAGGCACCTTCTTTGGTCCAGAGAGCTGCAGACTGTGGTTTATTTTGCTGGCGACCTCTTCATCACCAAGACTATTCCATAGAGTGCTGTGTCACCCGTGAAAACCAAACTTCTAAGCTTCTCCAGTTCAAATGACAACTTCTCTCTGTCACCTTTTGTCAAGAAAACTTTGGATTATGAATCTCCTTTATGGGGGCTCATAAAATGAATTGGGGTGCATTCATCGAGTGGAACACTCTGGAGCCACTGAAAAGAATGCGGCAAAGCTGTATAAAGATGCCTGTGATATCATCTTTATTCTTTTATGTTGTTAAGTGACAAAAGCCAGCTGTAGAGGAGCATGAATTGTTTTATTCCATGTTTATTACATAATGAGTGTAGTGTCGGGAAAGCCATATACCAAATTGTTCACAATGGTTATCTTGGGGGAGTGGAGCTTGGGAACTTGTACTCTTTGCTTGATGCATCTCTGCTTTGTCTCTCTCTTGAATCAGCATGAATAATTTTTTAAATTAGAAAACCTTCTTATTAACATGGAGGTAAATATTGGGGCAGTCCAAGATGGCAGCAGTCTCATGGTGAGGCCCTTGTTTTATGGGAAGAACATGAGGGTAGGAGTTTAAGAAACCCGATTTTTCGCTTAGCCAAGGTTTTTTCCTATTTTTTTGTGCCATGATCCCTCAGGACAGTGTGATGAAGTTTTTGGCTTCCTTCTCAGAACAATGCCTTAGGTGCATAACATGAAATATATAGTATTACAAAAGAAGCCAAATATATTGAAATACAGTTATCAAAATACTTTCTAAAAATTTTGTGGTATATTAATATATGTGTATTAAAATATAAGATCTGGCTGCAGGTCTAATAACTATTTAATTTAAAACTAGCCATGAGCATAAGTGATATTTTGAGAAATCTGCAACAGCTGAATATTACATGACAATGTCTGTGACTTCTGGTGACAAAGTCAGATGTGCTGGTACTACTGTGGTTTGTCACCTTCTTCATAAATGAAGAAAATGCTAGATTATAGTTAGAGGTAGTGAAAATCAAGATGTAATTTCCCATGCAATATCACAGATCCCTGTTTAAATTTCCCAGCCTAACAACTAATGTCCTTAACTGGCTGGGAAGTGTTGAATAATATTGTTCCCACCCTCACAGTCTCAACTGTTTCAACAGTAAAATGAGGGGCTAAGTGATGGCAAATGTGTATCATCTTACATGTCAACTGATTGATTGGTAGTGACTTGGTGAGGCATGTTGAGATCATCTCTGAGTTCAACTGGAAAGGATGAATGATTGGTGACGTCTGCCATGGTACTAGGTGGGGGAGAGGGCACAGAGTGTGCATGGCATACGTGTCCATTCCTTGACTAGATGAGCCTGTGGCCCCTTCCAGCTCTGATATTCCACTACGTCTGAAAGTAATTATTCTCTTCTGATTCTAATTTAACATATCTCCTGTCCAACAACAATAGCAACAGCGCAAGTGTTGGTTAGCTCTTCCTGGGGGCTTTGTGTGTGTGTGGCATTGGCACTGCCAACTCTACCCCTGTAGACCAAGTCTTCTGATAGACTTTTTATTAAGTAAAATTGTAAGCATTACCTCCAGTTTCAATGATAGAATGGTTACTGGGAACAGATTGTCTAGAAAGAAAACACAAATTAGTAAACGCAGTCTTACAAATGAGCCATCTGGAGATTTATTTACATAAGAAAAGAGGAAGGACTTGGTATTTTCATGCTGGGGTTTGTTTCTCTTGCAAGTAGCCACAGGGGTGTATTTATCATGAGCACACATTGAGCTTTTTAGTGAAGATCACTGAAAGCATGAAAAAAAAAATGCTCATTTGGTTGGTTATTTGGGAAATGGGAAGGAAGAGAAGGGAGAGAGTAAGAGAGTCACACATATACAAACACACACACACACACACACAGTTTTTGAAAGAATTTTACCATATAAGATTTCAAAATAGTTACAATATTTCACAGCCTGCTTTTGAAATTTTATATTATTCCCAGAGTGCTAAATGAGAAACATTTTCCTAAAGCAATGTCAAAGGTGGAGGTATTCAGCTATCACGCAAATATAGAGGGGCCACGAATAACGCTGAGGGGACCAAAACCTTGACGCCATTTGACCAGCAGTGGGAACAGTGATCCTTTGACCTCAGAGAGCTCCCTGGGTGTCAGACCAGCTCTGCAGAATCACTTAACCCCTCCTGCAGCTTGTCCTTTTATCCACTAACACCAAATGCCAAAAACTAAAAATCCCAAATTTGTGATACAGTGATATATGTGCTCTTTTAATGCATTAAAATACAAGGTCTAGCTGTAGGTCTGATAACTATTATCATTTAGAATTAGCAGTGAGCATAAGTGTTATTTTGAGAAATCTGCAACAACTGAATGTTACGTGAAAACATCTGTGGTTTCTACTGGTAATAGAGTCAGATATGCTACTAATGGGCACAGATATGCTAATGCACTGTGTACTTACTGTGGATCAGTGAAATAGCATATCTGTAAGTGCACAGTGAAATAGTTCTGCTTCCTAGGAATTTCGGCTACGTAACCTCCTGGCTTTACGCTGGTACCAAGCCACCATGAGTATTCATTAGAGCAAGGAAAGGAAGATAGCACAGAGAAGATAAAAGAGGGACAAGGAAGATCCCATAGGTGAATGAACTCACCAAGCCCACTATTTTCCCTCTACCCCTGCATTAGATGAAACCACACAGGTTCAAGTCCCATTGCCTGCCACACCTGCCTGGGTAAAAATAGCCCCACTATGTCTAAAGCACTGTTTGGCCAATAAAATACTAATTAATAAGACAACAGTTGGACTGACTTTACAGAAAGATAGCTTTCTGCTCCTGGACTGGGCTGGGTTGTAAAGTGTCTTACATGATTGCTCTGGAAATTGTATAGCTTAGGGCAGCAAATCTTTATAGGGGCAAGAAGAGGCAAGACGGAAAGGGCTGAGCAGGTCTCCTGCCTCAGGGCTCCTGAAGTCAGAAACAGCTGCAAAGAGGACAGGAAGTGAAGTTGGAAGTTTGAAGAGTGAATGTAGCTGGAAGGCAGTCAGCAATTCAGAGCCATCAGCACGGGAAGGTAATTACCTGCTGACAGGTCTCTGATGTGTACCTGGATGGGGGTGTGTGTGTCTGTGTGTGTGTGTGTGTATGCACACATGTGCAAGCTCTGGTTAACTGTGTCTCTGCAGGCAACTTAAGAGCATTTTCCATACTCTGTATCTGGACAAGAGGCAGGAGGGCTCATAAATAAAGATCCAGAACCCTAAATCATTGTATTGTGAATAAATCTTCGAAACTTGAAAATGTGGAAGATAAAAAAATAGTGAAATATGGAAACTTTTTGGAAGAGATAGAACCAGAGAAGTGCTTTATGTCAGTGCCTGGTTTGGAGATGTTTCTGAAATGGTCTGTGCAAGAGTGCATGATGGGCAGAACAACTGATGAAAGGGAATTATATAAGAAGGAAACAGGCAGTATAAATGGCAAATACTTGACCAGGCTCTGAGGCTTAGGCCCTCCATGGCACTTTCACTGGGCACCCATTTTTCAGATGAGCATCCTGAGGCTGAGAGCAGGTAAATTGCCTAAGGCTGAACAGCTAGTGAGAGATAGACTTGGGATTTAAACCTACATAGCCGGGCTCCAAAGTCTGCCTTCTTACATAGCCTGGCTCCAAAGTCTGCCTTCTTAGCTGTTATTTAAGCAAAGATCTTCTTGATCTTATGGAAATAACAAAGAAATGTGTGATAAAGTAGAAGGGGAGCTGGAGGAGGAGAAGACCTCAGCTCTTGGACCTAAGGCTCTCCATAGAGTTGGGAAAGTCGTTATTTCTGTATGCTGTTCCTGACATTATCATCATTATGGTAATTGTCACCAAGCAATGGGTTCCCTGCTCAATGCACGTAGAAACCAGCACTATGGCACTGGCTTTTGACAAAAGAGAAAGCTTTATTGCCAGGTTGACTAGCAAGGAGACAGGAGGAAACCTCAAATCTGTCTCCCAGAGCTGGGGTCTGGGGACCGGTTTTATAGGCAGAGAGTAATTATAAGGGAGCTAAGGAAATGCGAGGAGGCATGACCTGATTGGGCTATGCAGAGAGGCGGTGCTGGGTCCTTGACTTTTAAGTTCATACTGCAACAAAAGGGGGCACCCCTCACTTCTTAAATTGGTCCCCACCCCTGGGTTCGGTACTTACATTCCACAGGTGCTTGAATTTTTCTTTCCAGCCTGCTCCAGGGTCACTAATCAGGCATGCTGGGTTCGTGTGCCCATGCTCAGGTTACTGTGACTTGTAACGCGGGGGGTCTGTTGCAGTTACATCATTAGGAGGTATCAATACCAATATGTGGAATAAGAAAATTGTGGCATTTTGTTTCTCCAACTCTCTAGAGGATATTTCTGGAGCCCTGAAAGTAACTTCAGACAATAATGAAATTTGATGGCCTCCTAGCTCAGTGATTCCAAGCATGGAGGAACTACTCATCATGTCACAAAGTTGTCCAGATGCTCATGGCCTGTGGTTGTATGTTCAGTATCCAATGTTGATGAAACCTATGATGTCAAAAAGCTACTCTAAATGAAGAAATGCTTTTAAATTTGTATGTTACTGTTAGGACGTCATCTATACATATTTGAAAACAGTCATGTACACATAGAAGTGATGACATGATTTTTCAGAACATGGTCTTCTGCTTCCTGGGCAAGTGAACTCTAGAGGTTAATAACCACCCTTCCAGGTATATTTCAATCTTAAAACAAGAGTGGAATGGATGCTTTTAAAGTAGGGCAGGTGCTTGTCTCTTTAGCCTCAAAAGCACCTATTGACTTTCTGTATAATCTGACCTTTGACCATGCAACCAGTATGACTTGTTCAGGAATAAAAGTTGAGCCAGAGGAAATGGTGGTCTAATTTAACTATTAAGGATGGATGTCAGGCCAAGAGTCTGGCTCTCAGGGGAGGTAACAGATACCACTTGTTCCATTAAAGTCATTGCAGAAGACATGGTTTCCGAGTCAGGCAAGTGAAGACATCAGTTTGGTACCTCATTTTCCACTCGCAGTTCCTATTACTGAGAGCCTTCATTGGTTCTTTCATGATGGTAGTTGGGAGAAAAGTGATCTTTGGCAAAATGAAGTCTGCAGCTCTACTGAAGAGAGT